TCTTGGTTCCATTGTACAGGCCCACTCCCTAGTAACCTTCTGTCCACCTTTACCTTGGAAGCTTCTTGGCCCTTTGGTCTCACTTAAAGAGCTGAGGCATCTTCATGTCTGGCCAGTGGGCAGCCTCTACCATTCACGCTCCCCCCACTTTCTTCGTTCAACCATGGCCCATACACAGCATTCAGAGACTTGTACTTCTCCAAAAAGCCTGGAAGTTCCATAGAGAGCTTGGAGAACAGACTTCATAGTCTGCCTGTCAGCTCATCCCTGTAACATGTGGTCAGGAGCTAGAAAGAACTTATTTAACAGGGTACTGACCTAAAACTGTTTCAAACCTTAGAGCACTGAGCTATTCCAAAGGGCCTGGGCCTGGACAGCAGGAAAGAGGCTTCAAGGAGGCTCTGGGCTGCCCTCTGAGGGATGATGCAGGGGAGGGGATCCAAGGCAGACTGGTAGGGACTGTACCTCAATCCTTGAGCCTAAACTGCAGCTAACTCCTGTGCAAAGAAGTTACTCAAAGTGCTCAGGCAGCCAGGCACCAGTGGCTCACGGCTGTAATCCCAGCAACTCAGAAGGCTGAAATCTGAGGATCATAGTTCAAAGCCAGCCTGGGCAAGAGAGTCTGTGAGACTCTTATCTCCAATTAACCACCAGAAAACTGGAAATAGTGCTGTGGCTCAAGTGGTAGAGTGCTAGAGTGCTAGCCTTGAGCTGAAGAGCTCAGGGACAGTGCCAAAGCCCAGAGTTCAAGACCCACAACCAAAAAAAAAAGGTGCTCAGGCAAGCAGTCCCTCACCCCAAAAGAACAGTTTAAGAGCTGTGAGCAGCTGCAGCGGAGAGAGCCAAGACGTCACGACATCTTGGCCACTGTCTCATGGGCGTAAGAGCAATTTACACCAGATGGCCTCAGCTGCTCACCTGAGCATGGTTCCACTGACTCCCCGACAGGAATGAACAAGTAGTGGCAATGTGTGGATCCTGGCAGAGAAGAAAAGGTGCTCCATGTTAATGGGGCCTAACTTCCTTATAAATCTGGCAGTCTTGTTAGGGACAAAAATAGACATAAGACAAAAGGGAAGACCTGATGGCTGGGGGCTTCTAGACTTGGTTCTGTCTGACTTCCTGCCACCCAGAGGCCACCATCTATGACATCCTCTGGGACAAGAGTATAGAAAAGACAAAGAACATATGGGCATTATGATAGCCCTGACACTCTACAGAAAAGCTAGAAGTAGACAGGCACATGGGAGCCACAACAGGCCCTGCTCAGGGATGAGTGAGACAGCCTCAAAGTCCTGCCTGCAAAGAGTCTATCCGCAGTCAGAGAGCATCTGATCCAGTGAGGTGATCGGGTGCAAGGCAAGCCCACTCAATTAGCTTAGTCTCTGCCACGTTGAATATGCATTTCTGCAGTTAGCAGCTGGTAGACTCCACCTTAGCCAGTGCCTGTGAGTAACTGAGCTCTGCCAGGGTATCAGAATAAGGCCAGCCCCTGGCCCTGTAAAGCCAAAGCTGTTCCTGGAGGTTTACCTATACAGTGAAGTATTGCTGGCTTGGCTCAGTTGCTGGAAAGGACACAGAGGGGGGTGGTGAGCAGAGAAGACACCAAGAAGGTGGGAGCAATGGGGCCATCCAAGACACTTCCAGGCTTTCTCAGTACAGGACCTTCCTAGTTTCTGCCAGCACCTACTGGCGGCATGGGTGACTGAAGTCAGTGACCCCAGGTCATCCTCTACTGATAAGGGTCAGCAAAGCTCCTCTGTAAACAGAATACAGCAGCCATCTCACAAAAGCCACACAAGGTCCCATGCTCAGGAATTAGCTGTATACTCAAGAAACTCTTCTAGGGTTGGGAATGTGGCTTAGTGGTAGAGTGCTTGCCTAGCATGCATAAAGCCCTGGGTTCAATTCCTCAGTACCACATAAACAAAAAAAGCCAGAAGTGGCACTGGGCTCTAGTAGTAGAGTGCTAGCCTTGAGCAAAAAGAGGCTCAATAACAGTGCCCTGGCCCTGAGTTCAGCTCCAGAATGGCAAAAAAAGAAAAAAAGAGAAACCCTCCCAGACCAGCTTAGACACCCTTGCTTGACTTCCAGTATGTGGAAATGTCTGTGTGACTTCCTGCTGTGAGCCTAAAACCAACAAGCAACAACAGCATCTACCTGGGAGCCTGTACACACAAGCCAGCTAAAGCTATCTGGCAGAGCCAATGCCCAGCATGAGATGGCTACTGAACCTAATGAGGTATCAGCCATGTGGCTGAATAGTGAATAAAGCTACAGCTATTGCATCTTGCACAATTTCCAAACCAAGGTCTCCTTCACATGGGCCCCATCTGCCCTCCCAGATATGAAAAAGTCACCAGCTTGCAGAGACTGACTTGTCCAATGCCTCCTAAATACTCAAAACTATGCAGCACTTGACACCAACAGGACCTTCTCTCTTCCCCATCCTACCCATCACAACAAATCAGAGACTTGATGGACAGTGAGTCTTGGTAGATCAAAGGGGCTGATGGCTGCTCAATGGAGATTCAAAAGAAACAGCAAAAGCTACTTGCCAGTGACTCTGGCTTATAACCCTAGCTACTCAAGAGACGATAGAGCACAAACCTTGGCAAAAAAGCTCAGGGACAGTGCCCAGAGCCTGAGTTTAAGTAATAGGACCTACACCCATACACATCCACACAAAGAAAAGGGCAGCAAAGGCACACATTTCCCTCCATGGATACTCCAAGGGGAAATGCCTGCTATCCTGAAGCATAGCCTTCCTGCCTCTCATGTGGGCACCACACCTAAACATTCCCAAACATGAGTGGCTCCATGTCTGGCTGGCATACTACACACCTGCCCTGATTCCCAAATTAATGGCTGGCATGTTGGCTTCCTCAGTCTGGGATAAGCAAGGAGGAAAACTCAATTACAAAAACCTTACCTACTTCCTTTTGCAACACAGAGGTAATTACTGTATAATTAAAAAGGAGGAGAGAAGAAAAGTAATCAGTAATTCAAAGAAATCTGTCTGCACAAAATGCCGAACAATCATTGAGTGTGCCAGGCTAGTCTAACCTCCCAATGGTGTCCAGAGCCCACAGGAACAATCATCTCCCTTTCCCCTGAGAGGAACTGGGAAAATCAAATCAGACAGGAGGCCACTTGACACAAATTAGGGCAAGTTCCAACTAGACCCATGGCACAACTGTGGCCACCAGCCGACTCACCAGGGTTGTGTGTGTGTGTGTGTACGCGCTAGCAGGGAAGGAGGAGGAAGCCAGTGCCTCCTATATTTTACCCCATCCATCCCACTAGCTGGCCTCTAAGACCCTAGATCTGGCCATCCCCTGGGACTCCCTTTGACGATCCACACCCCTCCCATTAGCTCCAGGCATTAGAACTCCTCATGGGGGGGGGGGGGGACTAAACACAGCATCGGTGGTGCTCTGGAGACCCCGGGGCAGGCAGGTGTGCCCTGGTGCCTGAGTGCTCCTGTGCTGCCTGGGAACATCATCAGTCAGCACCACCCAGCTCTAGTGGAGACACAGCTGAAAACAAAAACAAACGACTAGCGACAACCTCAAACTTCCCCCTTTTAAACCTGTGGGGCCCTCACATAATCTGCTCTCTTCCTGAGGCCCCCTCAACAGGAACAACCCCACCCCCAACTTTTATTGACTACTAGTTTAGTTCCCCTGCGGGTGGCTGGGTTTCCCCTATACCAGGGAGGCCTTTGTACCTTTCCCATCAATCTCACACCCACCAGCTCCCAGAATCACCGCAGAAAACAGGACCAACCATGTTCCATGTGTCCCTGGAGGTGGGAACCGAAGACTCCAGTAGGTATTGCCCCGGAGGATAGACTTGCAGACATAAGTCCAGGCCTGGGCAATACCGTAGAGGGAACAGAAGAAAATGCTGGCCTCCACCTACACACCACCCTCTGGGCTGCTTCCTGCAAACAGTGCCATCCGGAGGCCAGTGGGATAAGAATCAGTTGCCCCTCATAGCTAGCTTTGCCCAGAATGCAACGGTCCCTGAACAGTCTCTCCACTCCCACCCTCTTATTGACAAAGTCATCCCTCAAGAAAGTTGAGGCAGAGGGGCCAGGCGGGGATTTGTAGCATGCTCAGACAACTTCACCCCTCCCTCCCACCCAGATCCCTGTGTTTCCGGAAAACAAAGCCGGTGGCCAGAGCGGAAGGGGGAGGGCGCAACCAACCCAACCCAACCCAGAGTTCCCAAACAGCACCCGCAACAGGTCCCCCCCACCAGACCCCCTTTCCCGCCAGTCCTTCAACTCTTTCTCTCAAAAGCTGCAGAACCACGAAGGGAGGAGGGAGGTACACCAGCGTGGGGAAGGGCTGGAAGAGGAAGGAGGAGCCAGGCCCAGACAGCAGGAAGCCATGGCACCAGGTGGGCAGAGTGGAGGAAGCCTAAGGACAACGGAGGGGAAAGTGGAGGGACACATGAAGGTGGGAGGGGGCTCTAGCACCGGCGGTGCAGGAAACTCATGGCTGGTGAGCTGGAGACCAAGGGTCAGTGGAGGGCAGTGGGGTCAGCCAGTGGGGGTCAACAGGGTGGGGTTTAGAGTGTGGTGGACAGGGGGCAGGGCCTGGAAGTGCGAAGCAAAGGGCCAGCGCGGTGGGGGCAGCCGCGATCCAGAACAAGGGGTCGGCGGGGTGTAAAAGGCGGTAGGGTCCCAATGTGGGGGTGGGGCTCAGGAGGGAGGGAGTGGAGTCCGGACCTCAGGGTCTGTGGGACCCCGAGAACAGCGCCGGGGATGGCTGGGAGTCAACAGATTCCAGAGCCAGGGTTCAGGCAGGGTCTAGGGGACGGTGGGGTCCCGAACGTGGGAGCAGGGGTCACGGGAGGTACCAGGAACCGGAGCTCAAGGTATGGGGGTGGCGGAGTCCAAAGTCCTGGGGTCCCGAGAGAAGGGCGGGTCGTGAGGGTGGGGTGGAGGTGGGGCTTGGGTCGGCTGGACGGGCGGGCACGCGCGTCGTTACCTGCGCTCCGCCTGGGGCCCGCGGGCGGTGGCGGCGGCCGGCCTCAGCAGCGCGGCGTCCCCCGCTCCGGGCCCCGCGCGCACTCGCGCTCCGGCTCCGGCGCCCGCTTGGGCCCCCGCTCCGGCTCCCGCGCCGCCGGGGCCGGCCTCGGCATGTTCGGCGGGAGGGCCGGGCTCGCCGCTCCGCCGCGCCCGCTCCGGGGCCCGCGCGCCTTACGCCGCCAGCGTCGGCCAGCGGGGGGCGGCGGCCTGCGCGAACCACTGCGCAAGCGCGGCTGGGCCGCGGAGCGCGCGCGCCGTCCACGTCACAGCGCGGGGCGGGGCAGGAGGAAAGCTAGGCAGAGGGCGCGCCGCTTTGCGACAGCGGAGGGCGCCGCGCGACGGTCGTCCCACTTTACGGCCGTGCCGAGGCTGCCTGGCCGCTGTCCCCCGGGACGCTGGAGGCGTGTGGCCGCTGGGGGTGCGCGCGGGCGGGAAAGAGGCGGAATGGCTCCCCAATACCCTGTGGGCGGACCTTCCGCCTTCCGCCTGGCCCCGCCCTCCGTCGCCATAGCGACGCGTGGCCGGGAGCCACCGGGCCTCCGCGTCTGTGTCGTCAGGGTCTCACCACCTGACGTCACAGAGGGTGGGGCCTGCGTGGGCGGCGGCTGGTGTGGCGTGGGGACGCGACTACTAGGTGCTTCGATTTCCTGGACTTGGAGAAGAGGAGAATCAAAAACAGTAGTTTGCACCGCAGAACAAAAAGCAACGTGTATGCATATATATAATTTATGAGTATAGTGTAGTCCGTGCGCACCGGGTAAAGAGCCAGACCTAGGCTTCTTGGTAACAAGAGCCGGAAGATCACTGCAGAAGGGTGGGTGGTCCCCAAGGTGCAGAGGGTTACCTGGAGTAAGCAGGATTACCTGTGAAGTGCCTTGCTGAGCCTCCCCTGCTTAACACAGGCCCCACACCCAGTAAGCACTCCATGGCAGCTTTCTAATTGTTTGCTATGCCTTGTCTGTCTCCTGCACTGAAGAAAGAACTTCGGGGGAGTGGGTGACTGGCCACCACACAAACACCCCCCTCACCTCCCAGTGAATCCCTGTTCTACACAAGGACAGAGCGGCTGAAGAGGAAGGGCAGCTGAAGACTCATGGCCTTCCTACTTACCCCACTACCTCCCAGGTGTGGGCATGGTATTTGTAAAGTACAGAGGAGACAATCCATTCAAATATGTATTAAGTGCCAGCCAATGGCTCTGGGAATAGAACAGTGAGTGAGGCTCTTGGCATGGCTTCCAGGGAGTCCTCAGTCCTTGGGGGGGGGGGGGGAGGTGGTGGAGGAAGAGGCCAAAAGAAAACTAAATGGTAAGATGGTTTCAAATGACACTAGGCTAGTTAATAGCAGGGTGCCTGGGGAGGACTCCTGGGGCCAGATGGCCAGAGTAAGCCAGACCCTAAAGGCTAAATGCCAGATGTGATAAAATGGAGAGGATTCTTGCTTTCATACAGGGTCTTTTAGGGTTGAAAAAAAGAAATGGAGTGGGGCTCTAGTGGCTTATATCTATAATCCTAGCTACCGGGGAAGCTAAGATCTGAGGATCACAGTTAAAAGCCAGCCCAGGCAGGAGGTCTGTGAGACTCTTTTCTCCAATTAACTAGCAAAAAGCCAAAAGTGAAGCTGTGGCTCAAGTGGTAGAGCTCTAGCCTTCAAGGGAAAAGCTCAGGACAAGGCCCAGGCCCTGAGATCAAGCCCCATGACCAAAATCAAACCAACAACAAAAGGCTAGGAAGGTGGCTCAGTGGTAGAGTGCTTGTCTTGCTTGTATGAGGCCCTGGGTTCGATTCCTCAGCACCACAGAAAAAACTGGAAGTGGCACTGTGGCTCAATACTTGAGCTGAAGAGCTGAGGGACAGCATTCCAGGCCCAGAGTTCAAGGCCCATGACCGAGGCCCAGAGTTCAAGGCCCATAACCGACAAAAAAAAAAAAAAAAGGAAAATTTGCCCTCATCTGTATACCACATCGGGACCTGTCTTATCAGGTGGGCAGAGAATGCACAATTATTCTTCTTTTTCATCTTTGGTCCAAGATTGGGATTCAAACTTGGTATCTGACACTTTTATTCGTTGGCTAGTACTCTACCAATTGAGCAACACCTCCAAACCCTCCTACCCCCCTCTTTTTTTGTGCCAGTACTGAGGCTTGAACGCAGAACCTCATGTTCTTGCTTGGCTTTTTTGCTGGTCTGGTGCTCTATCACTTGAGCCATACTTTCACTTTCAGCCTTTTACTGATTAATCAGAGATAAGAGTCTCACAGACTCTTCTGCCCAGCCCTGGATCCTCAGATTTCAGCCTCTCTGCCTCTCTGTCTCTCTCTCTCTGTGAGTTGTAAGCATGAACTTAGGGCCCGCGCCAATTTCGGTTTTTGAGTGGTTAATTGGAGATAAGAGTCTCATGGGGACTTCTCTTCTCATGCTGGCTTTGAACCTCGATCCTCCAATCTCAGCCTCCTGAGTAGCTAGGATTACAGCATGAGGCACCAGCACCTGGCAGGATATACAGTTCTGAGAGAGGATTTACTCCTACGTGATAGCTTTGGGTCCCAGAGGACTGAAACTCATCCTCTAGTGTCCTTTGGGTATATGTGTTTGTGACTATGAATATGTGCCGAGTATGCTTTGGTTTGGATATTGAATGAGCCTCAAAAGCCAATGTGTTAAAAAGCCTAGAGCTATTTGGAGATGATAGGTTCTTTGAGACACAAAATCTTGGGGGTCTAGGAGTGTCCTAAAATCACTGGGGCCTAAAGTCACTCTATACAACCCTTCCTTCCTTGCTCTCTCTCTACTACTCTCTGATTCCCTCCTCCCCTCATCAATGCTGTTCCAAGTGGTATGGCTGGCTGTGGAAACGGGTTTCATGGAGGGCTGGAGTGGTCCTTGTGGATGGTACAGTGTACTATGACTTCCTGGTGTGTGGGGGGGGGGTGTGTAGGTGTGGGGGAAGTGTAGGGGTGTGTGTGCTGGTACTGGAGCTTGAACCCAAGGCCTGGGGACTGTCCCTTAGTTTTTTTTCTCTCTCAAGGCTGGCACTCTACCATTTCATCTATACTTCCAGTTTGGCTTTTTGCTGGTTAATTAGAATTTGAGTTTCACAGACTTTCCTGCCCAGGCGGGCTTCAAACTGGGATCCTCAGATCTCAGCCTCTTAAGTGGCTAGGAATACAGGTGTGTGCCATGGCACCCAGCTACTCATTGGTCCTTCATCTTGTAGAGTGCTGGTAGGAAGTTTCAGGAAATGAAGGAGCTAGCTATGGAGGGCACTGTGCAGGGACAGAGGGCTCAGAACAGGGTAAAAACTGACCATGCAGTTCTACAGAAGATCTGAGTAGACTCTTCTCAGCTCCCCTGGGTGTCTCCCACCCAGGATGTCCACCCCTTAAGCCCACCTCTGTAGACAGTGATATTGCAGCTCCAAGGAGGTCACCTTAAGTCACCAATACTGAAAGAAGAAGGAAAAAGTGGTCTTTTAAAAGGGTGGATGTGCAGAGATAGGAGGATCAAAGTCCAGGCCATCCCAGAACAGAAAGTTCAAGAGACCTTATCTCAAAAAGTAGGCTTGGCTGGGTATGGTGGTTCAGGCCTATCTGATTGGGATGATTGTGGTTTGAGGACATCCCTAGGCAAAAAAAAAAGTTGCTAAGACTATACTCCCCCCTCTACTTGTAAACAAATATCAGAAGCCTGTCATCCTAGCTACTTGGGAAGAATAAATAATAGGATCACAGTCCAGGCCACCTTGAGTATAAACTTGAATCCTATTTGAAAAATAACCAAGCTGGGCACTGATGGCTTACACCTGTAATCCTAGCTATTCAGGAGGCTGAGATCTGAGGATTATGGTACAAAGCCAGCCAGGGCAGGAATGTCTGTGCGACTAACAATTCCAATTATTCACCAAAAAAACAGAAGTATAGCTGTGGCTCAAAGTGGTAAAGCACTAGACTTGAGAAAAAAAGCGCAAAGACAGTATTCAGGCCCTGAGTTCAAGCCCTATGACTAACAAAAATAAAAAGGTGCGGGCTGGGAAGGTGGCTCAGTGGTAGAGCACTTGCCTTGCATGCTCGAGGCCCTGGGTTCGATTCCTCAGCACCACATAAGCAAAAAGAAAAAAGCCAGAAGTGGCGCTGTGGCTCCAGTGGTAGAGCACTAGCCTTGAGCTGAAGAGCTGAGGGACAGTGCCCAGGCCCAGAGTTCAGGCCCCACAACCGGACCCAAAAAAAAATTTAAAAAATAAATAAATAAAAAAATAAAAAGGTGCCAGGTGCCAGTGGCTCATGCCTGTAGTCCTAGCTACTCAGGAGGCTGAGATCTGAGGATCACAGTTCAAAGCTAGCCCAGGCAAGGAAAGCCTTCAAGACTTCTTTTTTTTTTTTTTTTTGTGGGTTGTGTGGCTTGAACTCTGGGCCTGAGTTCTGTCCCTCAGCATTTCAGCTCAAGGCTAGTGCTCTACCACTTGAGCTACAGCACCACTTCCGGTTTTCTAGTGGTTTGTTGGAGATAAGAGTTTCACGGGCTTTCCTGCCCAGCCTGGCTTTGAACAACAATCCTCAGATCTCAGCCTCCTGAGTAGCTAGGATTACAGGAATGAGCCACCGGTGCCCGGCCCTTTGAGACTCTTATCTCCAATTAACCACCAGAAAACCAGAAGTGGTGCTGTGGCTCAAATGGGAGAGCACTTGCTTTGAGCTGAAGAGCTGAGGAACAGCACCCAGGCCCAGAGTTCAAGCCCACGAAAGACCAAAAAAAGAAAAAAAAGAAAGAGAAAAATAACCAAAGAAAAGAGGGATAGAGACATGCCTTAAATAGTAGAGCACTTGCCTAACAAGCAAGAGGTCCTGAGGTAAACTCCCAGCACCAAAAAAACAAAACAAACTAATCAGGAGGCTGAGATCTGAAGATTGAGTCCAGAGCTAACCTGAGTAAACTCAAGTAGTAATGTACTATCTGTGAGCAAAAAAAGCCAAGCAAGTATGCGAGGTCTTTTGGGGCTGGGAAAGTGGCTCAGTGGTAAAGTGCTTGCCTAGCATTCATCAGGCCCTGGGTTTGATTCTTCAGCA